GGATAATATGCCAACCCACTTGGATCTCCATATTTTCCTTGGCACCTGAAAATATATCCTGCATTAGTACTATAGATCAATATCCATTCCCTGGGATGGCTTTTCCTAGCAACCAGCACTGTCCCTCAGAGAGCTGTGGCCTAGGGAAGAAAAGGTTTATTACACACTGAAAGTAAATTCAGTCAGGAGGACAAACACAGACCATCCAATTTTAGAAATCTACATTTAGAACTGGAGGACTGAAGGAGTAATATAGCAACCAATCTTTTGATTCCTCTAAGAGCACATTTATGTTACTTTCCCCTAGGAACCAAGTATTAAGGAAGGGTGGGGGAGGATTCTATTAATATTTTACTGCTCTAGCAAAAATATATTTGAATATGTTTACAGAGTTTGAAAAACAACAGGAAATGGGGGAAAATAGTACAGGAAAACTCTGACTTGGATAAAATAATGGTCTCAGAATAATACTAGGAATTTATGGTTGACCTCTAAGCGTGTGGCTTCCACACAGACTTCACCTTCCCCTCATTCTAACCACAATGTATCTGTCACATGAGACTGATGCCTCCAACAGAACTTTTTACCTCAGACCTGTGTTCTGCTGAGCTAAAAGATTTCTAAGAAAAAGAGGTCAAAATAATGTGAGCAACCTTTCTGAATTGATTAGCACCAAGATTCTCACTCTTCCAGTGTCATTTCTGGAGCATGAAATAATTTATGTCATTCTTTATCATGAAAGCTGATTCTCAGAAGGAATTGGAAGGACTCTGAATGCTGGAACAATCCATTTAAAATGGCCTAAACATTCTTCAGCATACAAACTATAGCCAGGTTTAGACTACTTGAAATAGCAATGTCAAACATGCAAAATGATTTTTCTAATTGCAGAAATCTTTTAAAGCACTTATAATGAAAATTCCTAATAGAGGTTTCTCTATTTGCAAAAACTGAAGGGGTGATTTTTGTTATCAGTTTAAGTTACTAATTTGCCTTACAATAGGAATTTATTTATAGTTAATGAGCTATTGATAAAGTTTAAGATGCCTCATAAAAAAAGCACTACTGTATAATAATGTGAAAAAATACAGTCGTTCCTCAGTACCCTTGGGGGATTTGTTCCAGGAACTCAGAGGATACCAAAATCTGTGGATGCTTTAAGTCTCTGATATAAAATGGCACAGTATTTACATATAACCTACGCACATCCTCTCGTATACTTTAAATCATCTCTAATTACTTATAATACCTAATACAATGTAAAGGCTTGTAAATAGCTGTTGTACTATATTGCTTAGTAATAATGACAAGAAAAAAAAGTCTGCACATGTTCAAAACAGACACAATTTTTTTTCTAGATATTTTCAATCCTCAGTTAGTTGAATCCACAGATGTGTAACCCATGGACACAAAAGGCCAACTTTAATAGCATAAATTAATTATTTTCTGCAGTGACCTCAGATACTAAGAATGCTATGGATATCATAAAGAATAATACAATCACGGTCTCTGCCTCTGAGGAGCAGGTCTCTGCCTCTGAAGGTCTAACAGAAAGTCAGATCCTAAGTAAGTAGAAACCTAGAATGCAAATACAACTGGAATAATTAAGCAAATGATGGGATACAACATACCAAGTATGTAGTATATATGATACATGTTAATGGGAAAAAATTATGTGCAAAATAGTGGCAGCCATATGAAAATTACATATCTCAGAAAACTGTTATACGAAATCCCAGAAACCAAATTCTCAGTATTCCAGTAGATGATGAAATATATTTCTTCAGCAAAGATCATTCAGTTTCCTGTAGAGTGTTCTTCTTAGCCATCATCCCATCTTCCTTTCTCTCTCTTTTTTTTTTTTCTTTTGAGACAGGGTTTCCCTCCATCACCCAGACTTTAGCTCACTGCAACCTTCAATTCTTGGGCTCAAGGGATCCTCCTGGCTCAGCCTCCCGAGTAGCTGGGACTACAGATGTACACCACCATGGCCGGCTAATTATTTTTTCTTTGTATAGAGGTCTCACTTTATTGCCCAGGCTGCTCTTAGAACTCCTGGGCTCAAGTGATCCTCCCACCTCAGCCTCTCAAAGTGTTGGGAATTAACACTTTGAGAGGCTACCACACCCAGCTACCATCTTCCTTTTTTACCAATGCAAGTTCCCATTTAAGCACAAAAGATCTAAGGGTGCGACCATCTTTTCTCTATTTTTGAGTAATTCTAGGAAAACATACAAGTCAGAAAGTTCTAGGGTTTTAGGTAAACTTTTTGGTATACAACATTACAACTTACATCTTTCATCTGCACTACAACAAAAGCAATTCAAAACTCTCTCAAGGTACAGGAAGAGCCAACTGTCACTCTTACCAATTTCTTCCATACTTATTTTAATGGGCCTTTTGAGACTGAGTCTACACCCCTGATTTAGATACCAAATGTATTTCCCAGGTCCAGACAAACCTCTAAGATAGAATCAGCCTCAAACAAAAATACAACTTAAAACCATTTCCCCTATTCAATAGCATAAGGGATCAAAGTTTCAGAGATTTGCTGAGACATCATCTTTCATAAAGATGCAGCGGATGCCACCTGTACAGGTGACTGAAGGTAATCCTCCCACCTTCATTTAAAGAACAACATTACTGCTGTTTTAGAATTTCCTAACACTGGGTCCAAATCTTGTGACTACCTTTTGCCTCATCCCTTTTACTTAAATTCATCACTCATTTAAGAGGAAAAGGTAAGGTCTTAGAACTGTCATTTCCCAACTGACAGTAAGGTATTTGACTTGAAGCAGGAATTACAATAATGGCCTCTGGAAGCATTTCTTTACCCCCATCATCCATGGGGCTGCTTTCATTCCATTGTACTGAATCTTTAGGCAATTCTAGGACACAGGGAATGTGACTGCTCATTGTAAATAAAGGAATAAGTTTACTGAAGCCATGCGCTCAGGTTAGAAAAGCAAACAGTCCAAGTGGCAATAGTATTAGCAGTAAAAAACAAACAAACAAACAAACAAACAAACAAACAAAAAACTATATCCAGGGTTGTGAAGCTAACTATGATCTTATAAAAGTACTGCTTTTATGGGATATTGTTATTTTTAAAAGAAAACCAGAAAAGAAATCTCAATGTTTAGAAATAATGTTTTTCTACAGTTTTTTTCCTCCGCTGTACCAAACATATAGATATCACAAAATAGACCAGATAAAAATAGATAGGTCCAAGGGTAAAGAAATGGATAAAACACAATAATGGTCAAAGGTTAATGAGTAAAATACAATAACAAGTTCAAGACCAGAATAGAAGGGTCAAGTTCAAATCTATTTATGGTTTCATGAACCTTTTGTATGTGAATATCCCAAAAGTGATTTCAACTACTACTCTCCAGCTATATGAAAAGTATCAACTGTATTTTGCAGTGACCTAAAGTCAAACTAAAATTCCAGCAATGGAAAGACAGAACCTATAAACAAAACCTGTAAACAGGGAGAACAGTAAAGCAATAAATATTTACTAAATGTCTTTAGGTAAATAGGACACAGAGACTCTGTCTCAAAAAAAAAGAAATATACAATAATTTTTTTTTAATGTGTCCTAATGCCTTGCCTGGAGTATAGATTCCTTAAGGGTCCAAATCTTGTTTCCTATGCATGACTTACTGTTTAATGTAGTACACACAGAAGGAATATAATCATAACAATAAAGGTCTTTCACTTTCTTTCAGTTTCATTTTCCCCACAATTATTCTCAGGGAAAGGAGGACACTGTCTCTGACTCCTCAGCTCCTGTTTATTAAGATAGGACAACCTCGTGCTGGAACATACCAGCACTTATTTTTTTTTTTTTAAAGAGTCTCACTTTGTTGCCTGGGATAGAGTGAAGTGCTATTATCACAGCTCACTGCAACCTCAAACTCCTGGGCTCAAGTGATTCTTCTGCCTTAGCCTCCCAGAGTGCTAGGATGACAGGTGTGAGCACCTGGCCAATACCAGCACTCTTTTTTTTTTTTTCTTTGAGACAAAGTCTTGCTCTGTTGTCTAGTAGAGTGACATTGCATCAGCTTAGCTTATAGCAACCTCAAACTCCTGGGCTCAAGCGATCCTCCTGCCTCAGCCTCCCAAGTAGCTAGGAGGACCACAGACATGGGCCACTACACCCAGCTAATTTTTTTTTATATTTTTTAGTTGCCCAGCCAAATTTCTTTCTATTTTTTAGTAGAGACAGGGTCTCACTCTTGCTCAGGCTAGTCTTGAACTCCTTAGCTCAAGCAATCCTCCCCCCTGGGCCTCCCAGAGTGCTAGGATTACAGGTATGAGCCACCACGCCCAGCCAGCACTCTTTAATTTAAAAAATTTCCAAAGATTTTTCTTAAAGCTACAAGCTTGACAGATTTGGATTTTATGGCTGTTTTCTGAAGTTCTCAGAACTTGATCATTTGGATCACACAAACAAAAATCACTTGCAAAAGAAATCTCTTTAAAGATTAACATGCTACCTCTTCAAGAGAAACAGACTAGAGAGTAGAAAAAAAGGATCTGTCTAGAAGTATTAATAAATAGACTGGTCTTCACAAAATGGATTAAATGGATTAGAATCCATCCCACAGATGAACTGCTATATTAATAGAATCTAAATATACAGTTACACACTCAAGTCTGAAAGCAGTTCAAAGGGGTAAAATTCACTCCGTGATCACTTGAAATGGATACTCTCTAAAATTTAAAGCACACTATACACTGCAGTCAGGACTCAATCATTTTTCCATTTCTTCCCGCATCATACACACCAGTTTCAGAAAGTCAGCTTTTGCCCTCTAAGGGCTTTAATCCTTCCCAAAAAAAGACTAGGGCAAAGGCTAAAAAGACCATAAACCCTGGTTTTTAAAAAGCATTAGTAAAAGATTGCTTTATAAAATTGTAATTCCTAGCTGCAAAGAGTTCTGCAGATGGCTTTGAAGTGTCTCACATGCAAACAAAAGCAAAAAGCCACCTACGAGAGCAGAACAGAGCGTGCTTGACAGTCATCTAAAATCGGAGGCAGGACAAGGGAAATGTCATTCACTCATTTCACCGCGCTCCTGGATAAAGGTCCCCACTAAGGGAGTCCCCCCTTTGTAGACTGCGTGTCGTAGGGGAAAAGGAAACAGCCAAGAATGGTTTGTGACAGCACTACCTTAGGGAGGCGAAGGAGAAATGCTAAACTCTCGGGAAGGGCCGAGTAAGGATGGGGAGAGTCAGAGAGGAGTCTCCTCCTAGCAAAACGTCGCCCAGAGCAGTGACAAACTTCAGCTACGAGCAAAACCGAGTCCATTCGGCTCAAAACAGAGACGGAGCACGGAAAACTTTCCCTCGCCTCTGCCCACCCTTCCTTCCTCCTTCTCTTCGTCCCAACAGGAGGACACGTTAGCTGAGGTGCGAGCGCCGCCAGGCCGACAGCCCCCTCACTGGCCCAGGCACCCCGCGGGGCCGGACCTGGAGCCGGAGGGAGGGAGGCGGGAGGTGCAGGAGTAACGGGGCACACCGGCCCGGCGGGCGGGGAAGGGAAGCAGGGGAAGGGCGGGAAGGAAGCGGCCTCCGCGAGCCCGACCCGGCGCCCCCCAGCTACCTGCGAGGCCAGCTGCTGCCGTGTCCAGCCGCCAGAGCGCCGCGGGGACCTCGGAAGCTACGCCGGCCGAAAAAATAGGAGCTAGCGGCGGCGCCGAAGGGGAGGAGCCGGAGGCCGAGCGCTAGGGCGCCGGGCCCGCCGGGTCACGTGGCCCAGGCCTCCTCACGTGACCCGGTGCCGCGCGCTCCAGGGACGCTCCGGAGCCCAGCACCCCGCCCTGCGCGGCCGGCCGGCCGGAAGAAGTCCTACTCTTTGCTCCCTGGACACCGGGACTTCTCTAGGAGCCAAATGGCCGTCCGAAGCCCTGCCACCCGAGGGTCGCGGCAAAGCCTAATGGCTGCTGCCCGGTCTCACAGGCCTTTGTCTCTGGAGAAAGCAGGGAGGAGCGAGGGGCGGGCTCCTGCCCCCCTCCCGGAGATGGCTCGGCTGTGGAGAGGGCCGGCCTCCCACCCCAAGGGACCCAGGGCGGAAAAGCGACTGGGAACCCCGGCTCCCTGCCAACTCTAGGGCGCTTCTGGCCCTGAGACCCCCCAGGTGGTGCTGCCTGGGACCAAGGGCCATGGAGAGGACACCTGTTTGTTTTACCTGGAGAGGTGTCTCTCTCCCCGAGCCCCACCTCGGGATTGAAGGCACGTGAGGACGGCCAGGGGCTAGGGAAGGAGGCAAATGGACCTAGATAAGGAAGGAGGAGATGAGGTGCAGGCGCCAGATAATGGAAGGAAGGCAGCGGTACCTCGGAAGCAGGCTGTCAGGGTTGGAAGGGACCTAAGAGGACCTCTGACCTAACCTGTGTCTTATTATAAGGGAGTAAACCGAAGTCGGGAGAGGGACAGCTTCGTGCCGCTGCAGCCTGTCACCTGTTGAGACTACAACCATCTTTTTTTTTTAACCTCTAAGCTTCTATAATCGTATACCATCTTTATAAAATACTGTACGGCTCTCTTAACTCCAGTTGGCTTTACGGCATCAAGTCCAAATTTCTTGGCATAGCATTCCAAGCAATCTTGTTCAGATTTACCTTTCCCATTTGAGCTCCCATGAATAAACAAAAACATTTCGTTTTCTAAATATCAGCAAACAACTCCCTGAATTACTAAAAAGCTACTTTTCCTCATTTCCTGCCATCCCCAACACTACTCTAGGTTCTGGCTACAGAGAATGCCTGTTTTCCTTGGCTACTTAACTTCCTTTGGATCACATCTTTTTTCCCTCAAGTTGCCTTACTCCCTTTTGCTTCGTTCACTCTTTTGCCTCTATCTGAAATGTCCTGAATCACTACCTCCCACGCTTAAAACCAGAGCCAGGCCCTCGTTAAAGCAGTAAAGACATTTTATTCAGAAACTTTGAGCTCAGTTATGTATCTGAGGTCTCTTTTCCCTTATTGCAATAGTTCCTGAATAAAATGTTTTTACCACTTTAACTGCAGTCTGGTTCTACTCTTTAACAGTCTCCAAAGTACACATCAGTCTCCTACTCATCTTTCATAATCCAGGTCAAATACCACCTACTTAATTGTCTGCCCTCCTGCATCCTCCTCCCTGATTCAACAGCTTTAGCAATTGAAGTTCATTCAGACAGTATCAGGTGCAACTTCTTCCCTGATTTCTAAAACACTGTACATATTCTGATAGTGAATCTCATATTGCCTGGAAATGTACATTTCCTGTAAGAGGTATTGTTTATTGCTATCTTCTCCCCTAGATTATAAACTCTTTGAAGAGGACTCTCTGGGCTTAGTATAGTGCCTGGCATGTGATAGACCTTCAATATCCACTGAATAAAGTGGCTTTCCCAAAGTAGTAGAAGTTCAGCAAATTTACTAAAAGAGAACATTTTTGCTCAAAGAAACTAGAAATCAATTTCTTTTGGCTGCAACCTGATCAAAAGAACTTCTGCAAAACATCTTTGAGGAAAAAAACAGGGACTAGGTATGTGAGTCATCCAGTATTTCCTGAGTGCTCATTGCTTTTTCTGTGTCAGATGTCATACTTGGAGCATCTTGGAGGATGAAAAGCTGAATGAGACAGGGTTGCTGACAAGGAATGTGTACTCTGGTTCATTATCCCAGTACCGGGTGAAAAATATGATGCAAGGTGCTAAGAGAACACAAATAAGGAACCACAAGTCAGGAAAAAATTTCCTGGGAAGGTGAATTTGGAGGACAGGCTGTAGAGGAAGGGAGGGAAAGACATTCCAGAAGAGAGGCAGCATGTTCAAAAGTAGTGAGGCATGAAACAGTAGTAATTGTTTAGGGAAACGCAAGTAACCCTGTGTCACTGTCCTTGATGACTTCATTTACCTCTAGGGTGAACGAAACCTAGTTAGGTTAATGTTTGATGTACTTGAAAGAATGACATATTTATTCATATTAGTATTACTTACTGGATTGATTAACTTTCCATCAGACACACACATCATGAACTCTTCATCTAAAAATGGGGTAAACTAGCGCTGGGTGATTTTTTACATTTTCTTAAAATTCTAAAAGCTCTCTATGATTATTATCTAAAAACAGCAAAATTACTTATTCCAAAGAAGATGATTGTAGAGCCCTCTAAATTTTTTCTACAGGGCAAAAGAACTCAATTTAGTAACTTAAGGAAGAAACTGGGTTCTACCTCCAACAGGTGGGGGAGGTGGAGGGGAACTACTCTTAAAATCATGCTAATTCATGATTGTGCTGATTAAAAAGTATCTGTCAAAAACCTAATAAAATAATGTTAGGTTTAAGATGGGATAGAACATAGAACGATTCTAATCACTTTTGGGGGCTTCAGACGCTCATTTCAAAAGTTAATCTCTCAATAAATGGAAAATTAGAAACTCCTCTTTTGTTCACTTCCTTCCTCCACTGTGCTTCTCTTTTGTGAGTATCAATTTGGGCAGGTGTGGGTCAGCCAGTCAGTCCCAACTCCTTCAGCAGAACCATCTTTGCCAATAAAAATCTTCTGATCCCTTAGGGAGTACACTTGTTTTTCATAGGCCGCTGGAAAGTTCTTTCTATTGAGCAAGCAAAATTAAAAGGGATTTCAGTTATTTCCTCAAAGCACTGTTCTGAGAGAATGAAAACATCTAGAAACATCCATATTGTCTCTGTTTTCTCCTCTGCTCCTTCTCTCATCTTGGAGGTGGCCAAGATTGAGAGAAACAAGCCAGAGGACCAACTCTTGCAATGGCTGCATAGGACAGGCAATGTTTAAGTTACCATATAAGAGTGCTTCCTTCTCATCTAATACAGTCAGGAAATCTGTTCTGACAGTCTCAACAACAATATGATTAATTTTGAGAATTGAGGGTGACATAACTGTTTTAGGATTTTACACATATAAATAAAATACAGAATCTATCTCTAGAAAGCGATTCCACCTTGATTTTCAATTAGCTTAACCAAATAGGGTAAACTTAAGTTTACAATGAGTTTTACAGCCTTAAACATCTATCAAACTACTGTGGTGATAACTTCTGTTTTTATAATTGGGATAGATAAACGTTGCATAGAACAGGGGGAAAATATTGAGAGAAGAGGTGATAGAGAATTGGAATGAAATTATTCTAATTCCCTTTTTCCTTCACCCCAAGAACCAGATGAAAACTTTCTGTTCACCAGACAAACATATTAAATAAACAAATAAGTGGTTTAGCCCTGGCTACAGTAGACTACTCTGCTGACTCATATCTTCACCTACACTGAGGCAGATCCTGTACTGAACAGGTGGTATAATGAGATAAACATACACTGCTCCCTAGACTAGGCATGAAACCCTTCCAAACATAGCACCTTTCGTGACTGTCAATATCATTCCTCATAAAATGGACTCAAAACTCTCTGTTTATAATTGCTTCCTTGTCCTTTGTCAGGTGAAATAGCTTCTTAAATACAGAATTCCTGCACTGTCCTTGTCAGATGACAATGACATATTCATTTGTTTTTTTAATTTATCAGCCATCATCCTTGTTCTACCTGCACTTAGCTGTGGTAGCACCATGGCTCATTAGGAGGCCACCAGCTTCTGGTAGGAGATATAAGGTCTCTAGTCTTCCGAGAAGATTGCAATTGACTGAAACAGGACTGACCCTCTGGATGTTAATATACACTTTGAAGACTTCTTGGAGAAACCCGAGGGTAGCGATGGAGATAGTTAGAATATTCTCAGATTGGGCTTGACTCACTGGTTTGGAATATTAAAGGTGAAGTTACCTGGAACAAATTAAATGACACTATGAAGAAACAGACAAATATGAAATGGTGGATAATAATACTCCTAGCCTTGGTTTCTTCAAAAAGTTAAGTTCATAGAAAAAAAGGACAGGACTATTCTAAATTAAAAGAAACTAAAGGAACATGATATTCAAATGCAATGCATGAAACTTGGATAGAATCCTGGTTCTATATATATATTTTTAAATAGCTATAAATAATATTTTATGGAGAATTACAGAAATTTAATATGGATTGGATATTAGATGATGTTGGGGGATTTCTGTTATTTTTTTAGATGTAATAATAGTATTATTGAGGATGTCATTTTTAGGAGATGTATACCAGAATATTTAGGAACAGAGTGTAATGAGGTTTGTAAATGGTTCAGAAAAAAACAATTAATCCATAGACAGCAAATATGGCAAAATGTTAACAATTGTTAAATCTAGGAGGTGTTCTCTACATACTCTTATTTAAACTTTGAAATTTTCACAGTGAAATGTTGGAAAGTGGGATACAATGTGACCTTAATCATGCCTGTAATCTTAGCACTTTGGGAGACCAGGAGTTCAAAACCAGCCTGAGCAAGAGCAAGACCCCATCTCTACAAAAAATAGAAAAATTAGCTGGGCGTCCTGGCAAGTAGCTGTAGTCCCAGCTACTTGGGAGGTAGGAGGATTGCTTAAGCCTAGGAGCTCAAGGTTGCTGTGAGCTATGATCACATCACTTCACTCTAGCCCAGGTGACAAAGCAAGACTCTGTCTCAAAAAACAAACAAACAACAAAACCCCAAAAGATGTGACCTTTATATTTCAAACTAAGAAAGCAGGATATTTCAGTAATTTATTTATTCAGAAAGATCTTTTGAATGCCCTCCATGTCTAGGCACTGTATTAAGCTCTGGGTATACACTGGTGAATAAAATAGTAATGGTTTCTTTCATGGGTACTGTGCTGCTTTACCCAGTCTCTCCTTTAAGACTGAAGGATTTAAGGCCGGGCGCGGTGGCTCACGCCTGTAATCCTAGCACTCTGGGAGGCTGAGGCGGGAGTATCGCTCCAGGTCAGGAGTTTGAAACCAGCCTGAACAAGAGTGAGACCCCATCTCTACTAAAAATAGGAAGAAATTAATTGGCCAACTAAAAACATATAGAAAAAATTAGCCGGGCATGGTGGTGTGTGCCTGTAGTCCCAGCTACTCGGGAGGCTGAGGCAGGAGGATCACTTGAGCCCAGGAGTTTGAGGTTGCTGTGAGCTAGGCTGATGCCACGGCACTCTAACCTGGACAACAGTGAGACTCTGACTCAAAAAGAAAAAAAGACTGAAGGATTTATTCTCCCAGCTTCTGGGAAGCTCGTACACTGATAGCCCTCCTCAGTGATTGCCTTGGCTAAAGAAAGTTGTCTTTCCCAACGTCATGCCACCTTCTAGGAGCACCTGCAAAAAATGACTGGTCAACATGGGATTGTTAAGACTGACTCCATCACCTCAACCAGGGACAATTCTGAAGAGTCATCCCAGCTTCAGAACTCCCCACTTTCTCTTTCTGCCCAGTCTTGCTTCGTTCCATTTCCTCCATAGGTCCCGACAGCACCTACCATTGAATGGACTAACCAAGTAGAATGAATGGCTCAGCAGTCGGTGTCAGCCAGGTTTTTCATCAGCCTCCCTAGCACTGGCACAATGGATTCTTTTTTTTTTTTTTTTTTTTTTGAGACAGATTCTCACTTTGCTGCCCAGGCTAGAGTGAGTGCCAGGGCATCAGCCTAGCTCACAGCAACCTCAAACTCCTGGGCTCAAATGTTCCTCCTGCCTCAGCCTCACAAGTAGCTGAGACTACAGGCATGCCCAGCTAATTTATTCTAAATATATTAGTTGGCCAATTAATTTCTTTCTATTTATAGTAGAGATGGTATCTCACTCTTGCTCAGGTTAGTTTCAAACTCCTGACCTTGAACAATCCGCCTGCCTTGGCCTCCCAGAGTGCTAGAATTACAGGCACAATGGATTCTTGAACAGAAGAGTCATTGTAGCAAGGAGGGGGTTTGTACACGGGCCCAAGAGCATACTGTCCCACTCACCAATATTAATCTAACTACTGCCATGGCCAAATAATCAACTTGCCACCCACAGAAACTATTGCTGAGACCCAACACAGCATTATCTCTTGAAGATACCAGCTAGTCCCTCAGTGGCAAGTTGACCCATTGCACTCTGTCCACATTGGAAGAGGCAGACATTCATTTTAACAGGAATAGGTGGGTATCCTGTATATGGATTTGCCTTGCCTGCTTGCAGAGTCTCAGCCAACATGACTGAGTTTATGTTGTATTTGATTCACCGACATGGCATTCAGAATATTTAAGAACAGAGTATAATGAGGTCTGCAAATGATTCAGCAAAAAAAATTTACTGCCATCCATATCCATAAAGAGAGAGCAAATATGGTAAAATGTTAGCAATTTTAAAATCTAGGATGTGTTCTCGATACTCTTATTTAAACTTAGAAATTTTCACAGTACAATATTGTGAAATCCACTTTACAGGAAAGGAGGTGTAGCAGTGGGCACACAACCATGGAATCCACTGCACCTCTCACGTGGCATTCCACCCAGAAGCTATCAGGCCCATGAGCAATGAAACAGCCTATTAAAAGCTTTGCTCAAGTGGCAGCTTGGAGGTGATACCCTGTGAGGATAAAGTGCTACCCTCTAGGATACAATAACGCCCTAAATCAATCACCGTTATATCATGCTGTTTCTCCAAGAGGAGAATATCCAGGAGCAGGACCCATGATGTGGCAGCAGCAGTGTCCCCACTTACCCTCAGTCCCAGTCTCTCACTTGAGGAATCTGTGTTTTCAACCTCACAACTGTAGGCCCCAGGTTCAAAGGCTGTGGTTCCCAAAGGGGGAACATTTCTACCAGAGGACACATCAAGAATCTATATTGAGGCCGGGCGTGGTGGCTCACGCCTGTAATCCTAGCTCTCTGGGAGGCCGAGACGGGCGGATTGCTCAAGGTCAGGAGTTCGAAACCAGCCTGAGCAAGAGTGAGACCTCGTCTCTACTATAAATAGAAAGAAATTAATTGGCCAACTAATATATATAGAAAAAAATTAGCCGGGCATGGTGGCGCATGCCTGTAGTCCCAGCTACTTGGGAGGCTGAGGCAGGAGGATTGCTTGAGCCCAGGAGTTTGAGGTTGCTGTGAGCTAGGCTGACCCCACGGCACTCACTCTAGCCTGGGCAACAAGTGAGACTCTGTCTCAAAAAAAAAAAAAAAAAAAAAGAATCTATATTGAACTTTAAGCTACATCACCATCCGGGCACTCTGGGCTTCTCATGCCAAGCACCAGCAAGCATGGTTGAGGTAATTGACTCTTACCATCAAGAGGCAGCACAGCTACTGTTGATGCAATGGAGGCAGACAGGCATGTGTTTGATACTCAGATAACTGACTAGGACACCTGTTGGTGCTGTCTTGCACAATCTCAATGGCAAATGGACAAATGCAACGGCTATAGCCTGACAACATACGGTAAACAGAACTGGGATGCATGTATTTTGAGCATCTGAGTCACCTCACTAGGTAAGGCACCTGAACCTTCAGAGGTGCTCATCAACAGTGAGGAGAGTCTAGAATGCACAGCAGAGGAGGGAGAGAATGCATATCAGTGGTAGCCTCAAGACCAGCTGCAACTACAGGGGGCCATAGTTCATCTTACCAACCTTCCCTTTTTTATAAGTTACTGCTAGGGAGAGGGGCCCACCCACATTCTGAAAGAGCTCCTTCAGATCCAGTTTCTTCACACAGAACTCGTGTGAAGAAACTGGATCTGAGTGACACAAGCTCTGGACTGCCCTGCCCAGGTCACAGCTGCCAGCCCTCTTGGGATTGCTTCAGCTGGCAAGAGCTGCCTTACTCACAGTCAGGCCTGTTCCAGGCAGCTCCACTGCCTGACTGATGCCCAGTCCTACTTCCTTGTGTTCCATAGGTGTTGATTCGAGCACTCCCTGGTAAACTTCCAACGTGCTAATCTCCACGTCACAGTCAGCTTCCCAGGACATCTTATCTGTGACAGTCTCTCTGTGTAGATTACACTTTGGAGGAGAAGATAGCAAACCAGTAAAATAAATCTGTGACCTGTACTCTGAGGGAAATGAACAAGATGCAGTGACAGCAAGTTGGACAGGGAAGTTGGACTTGGGAAGGAGGTGACGCTGAAGCCAAGAATTACAGCATAGGCAGACGTTAGCCACGTGAAGAGCAGGAAAGAGAGTGTGTTCCAGAAAGAGAAACATCTTGGATAAAAGCTGTTCCCGAAGAGCCTAGCATGTCTTAGTGCCACCCAGAGCTCTGTGGTCTTTCTAAAGGATTTTATTTCAAATGCAATGGGAAGCCTTTAAAGAGTTTTAAAGCAAGAGAGTAAAATGTTGTGATATATGTTTTCTACAAATTCTCTTGGATATAGTGTGGGGAACAGATCAGATAGGGGGGAACCATGAAGGAGGTTTTTGCAGCATCAAGGAAAGATGACTACCCAAAGATTGCCCCTTCCCTCCAAACCATGTTCCAAATGCCCAAGACCCTAGAGCTCCTGCCCAGACAGCACCACCCCACTTCCAGGGCTTGTGAGAACCTCTTCCCTAGGTCCTTCCCTCCCAGGGCAGACTGCACACGTCTAGAGCCAGGGAGGTGGCTGTTTGTGGGCAATGTGGACAGAGCTTGGAAGCGGAGTGTCCAGAGGCGTGTGTGTGAAGCCTGTTGCAGTGCCAGATGCAGCCAGGATTGCAAAAGGAGGGGGATGAGCTGAGGGGTGGGGGCCAGCGTGGCAATCACCCCCTACCCTGCCAAGTTCCAGTATGAAACTTTAGGATTCCAGGAATCCAAAGTTGAAGCTTGGCCATCCAGGTCATGAAAAAAAGCTGTATCTGTCAAGATAGGAGAATAGAACATAACTTTATTTAACATGTTTGCTTGATTTTTAACTTACAAATTTATGCCACGTGGGCCTCCATTTGTAGCTTTGCACTGGGTTCTGCAAATGTTAAGGGTGGGCCCGAAAGTCACATTGCTTGTTAAGAAACAACATGTTAGACTGAAAGCTAGCTTCTTATTTCAAACAGTAGATGCCAGAGGATAGTGGAATATCTTCAAAATGATGAGGGATTAAATATGTTAATCTAAAAGTCTCTATCTAGTTAAATTAGCATTCAAGGTGAGGATAAAATAAAGACATTTTCAAGCCAAGACTAAGAGAATTTCCTACTCACAGGCTCTTGCTGAAAGAAGTTCTTTAGAAAGAGGAAAAATAAACATAGCAGAAAAGATTAGGATGCAAGAGTCAACAATGAGCAAAGAAATGACTAATTTTTAGAGGATAAGCACAGAGTAGAACTAGAACATTACATAGCAATCAAATTAAAGATGAAAGGCAAGATTTAGAGTTAAAATATTCTAAGGTCCCACTGATGGTGAAGTATACAATGTTAACATTTTTAGCTATAACTAAATATTTTTAAAGAAAACATCTTAAATATTTAAAAAAGTGAATAGTTAGGATAAGGGACAAAAGCAAAATAAGTTTAACTGGTAGCACCTATAAAATAGTCCTCATTTCAATATGGAAAAACAGGCACTAATTTATTCTTTGTAAAATTCCTCTAACCAAAACCGCTGACTATAAAATACCACCCCTACTGCTATTGTTCTGCAATTATATTAATAAATCATTTTTCATCCATGAAGGAATGTTATGAGGGCACTTGCTCTTCATTCATTCTCATAAAACTCCATGAAAGATAGATATTAAAATGTCCAGGGAAATCTCATATACTTGGCTTTTAGATGAATGAGTTAATCATCAATAGCTATTTGCACAGAACTTTACTAGTTTCTACAAAGAAAAAAGTACAGTCCCTCCCATTAGGGACTTTACAATCTGATTAAGGAGACACAAGCTATATAAACCCACGTGAAAATAAAACGAGGATAGAAAACAGCAAATGGTAAGAGCCTGAGATTGGTCTAAGTATTACCGTTCAGGGGATGTGGAATCCCTTTCCATTGGGATCTCTCAGAAGGCTTTGACCAAATATTAATACATGAAATTTGATCTGGGCTTTAAGAGAGGTAGAATTTCACTAATCAGGGAAGACTGGAGATTGGTCTGAGCAGAAGCACTAAAACAGGAAAAAGGGCCATAGCCAAGAAAGAAGACATTTTCAAGAAAGAAAGGTAAGCACTATGTGAAATATTGAGATAAACCATTGAGTGAATCATGACATGGGCCAAAGTAATCACAAGGAAGAAGTAATTTTAAATATTATTTTCAAGATGATACCAACTTGAATTTTTTATTGATTTCCTTCTTTTATATTCCATTAAATTTTTCAAAAAAAGTAGCAAATATTAATATAAATGCAAGATATTGACTTTCTACAAGTTACATATACAAATAGCTCAGTTTTATTTTATTTTATGTTTTTATTTTTTTATTATTTTATTTTTTGAGACAGTGTCTCGCCCTATCACCTGGGCTAGAGTGTAGTGGAGTCATCGTAGCTCACTGCAACCTCAAATTCCTGGGCTCAAATGCTCCTCCTGCCTCAGCCTCCCAAGGTGCTAGGATTACAGGCATGAGCCACCATGCCCAACCTGAATAGCTCAGATTTTTACTGCTTCTGCATACAACTTTATTTACTAGACTTTCTCTAGCTTTGAGGAAAAAAAAGTTCAATAGCCCTGTAGAGAGCTGAAAAAAAAAAAAAAAAAGGCCACATGTATACTGCAGACAGGATCACTATTCTTTGTGTCTTTTTTTTTTTTTGAGACAGAGTCTCACTTTGTTGCCCAGGCTAGAGTGAGTGCCGCGGCATCAGCCTGGCTCACAGCAACCTCAATCTCTGGGGCTCAGCGATCCTACTGCCTCAGCCTCCCGAGTAGCTGGGACTACAGGCATGCACCACCATGCCTGGCTAATTTTTTGTATATATATTTTTAGTTGGTCAATTAATTTATTTCTATTTTTGGTGGAGACGGGGTCTCGCTCAGGCTGGTTTCGAACTCCTGACCTTGAGCAATCCGCCCGCCTCGGCCTCCCAAAGTGCTAGGATTACAGGCGTGAGCCACCATGCCCGGCCTATTCTTTGTGTCTTTTAACACTTTTTTCTTTTTGAGACACCGTCTCACTCTGTTGCCAGGGCTAAAGTGCGGTGGCATCAGCCCAGCTCACAGCAACCTCAAACTCCTGGGCTCAAGTGATACTCCTGCCTCAGCCTCCAGAGCAGCTGGGCCTACAGCTGTGTGCCACCATACCCAGCTAATTTTTTTTTATTTTTAGTTGCCTGGCTAATTTCTTTCTATTTTTAGTAGAGACAAGGTCTTGCTCTTGCTGAGACTGGTCTTGAACTCCTGACCTCAAGTGATTTATTTCTTAATGAAGTTTGTTTTCCCAGGTTTTCTGTGGGTGTGTGTGTGTGGGGGGGGGTCCTGCAGAGGAAGAACCATACAGAGTAAGCCTGCCACCTTGTGGGGGGGCCAAACCTGGCATCTGCTAAATGTTGAATTCCCATTTATTTTGTTGCCTATTGTATTTACTGACCACAACCTAGATTTGATACTGTCTAATGAGAAATTTATACCCGGGTACATTCTATAGGCTTAAGTGCTTTTTAATTTCAAGATACATTTCTTCATCCAATTCTGAAATTACCGCAATATTTCCAAACCGGCTACAGGAGTGACCACATTGAACCTGTGACCCTGGCAGGCTCACAAGAGGATGACTTCACTGCTTCCCAAACAAGGAAACAAACTTATCCATGAGTAGGAGTTAGCTCAGTTCACTCAGAAGATAATCAGTGAGGCAGATTAGAAGGCAGAATTCCCAGTCACCCAAACAGGTAGTATGACAGACTACTCAAAAACAGATGAAACACCCTCCCTGAACGAGAGTCAGGACTTACGATGGACACAGGGTCACCATTTCCTGGAGTTTTGATTGTCTATAAGCTTAATGCTCTGACATGACAGGCAGACGTTTCCCAGTCCTCTCTCTGCATTTATCAAAAATAAGAACATTGGAAGTTGTGTACAAGGCAGGGCTAGCAGGTGGCTACAGGAACTCACTGGTTACTAGGGAAGGCAGCAGCCGTACTCATGTCCTGACACCACTATTAAATGTCCCTTCTTTTCTTTGGTCCTTTTACCTCTTCTTTCTTTTCCTACCTCTGCAAACTCTGAAATATCCATTTCACATAAAATGTCTACTATAACTCACCGGATGTCACTGGGAAAAGCAATTAAAGGAGGAAAAATTTTCTTAATGCTTGAGGGTGAAAAACAAACAAAACCCATATCATCCTTTTCTTTTTTCTTTTCTGACTGGAGGGGTTCATGGGGGGTAAGACCACACATTGGCATAGGAACTTGTTATTCCCACCTAATGGGTTAATTGAGATGGGAGCATCAGTTTAACCCAATGACTGATGAAATTGAAAAAATGCACCCAGCTCATAGTGCTTTTTAAACTGAGGATTAAGGTCGGGCGTGGTGGCTCACGCCTGTAATCCTAGCACTCTGGGAGGCCGAGGTGGGAGGATTGCTTGAGCTCAGGAATTCAAAACCAGCCTGAGCAAGAGCGAGAACCTGTCTCTACTAAAAATAGAAAGAAATTTGCCGGACAACTAAAAAAATATATATAAAAAATTAGGGGGTGGCACCTGCCTGTAGTCTCAGTTGCTCAGGAGGCTGAGGCAGGAGGATCGCCTGAGCCCAGGAGTTTGAAGTTGCTGTGAGCTAGGCTGATGCCACAGCACTTGAGCATGGGCAACAGAGCGAGACTCTGTTTCAAAACAAAAAACAACAACAAAAAAAAACGAACTGGACCTATATATGCTAAAGTGGAGAAAATCCCATCAACATATTATTAAATGAAGTAAGTTAGTTACAGACATCACAATTACATTTAAAAAGACACAACCAAACAGAAACAAATAATAAAACATATGCATGTACTCCAAAATATGTAAGTGTGTTATAGAAACGTAACTTTTAAAGAGTACATCCGACTACTGATTCTGATGACCTTGAACTAGTGATTTAGAGGTGGAACTTAGGAATTTTGCCCTGCAGACGTCCATACAGTTTGACTCTGGTAAAGAAAAATATATTTATCATTACTTGTGTGATTTTTTTTTCAAACAAAAGAAGAGAATTGAAGTAAACACTTTGCTCATTGCTACCCCAGGTAACAGTAAATCATCTGGGAAATATAGCAAAGTCTCAAGCACTGATTTGAGTTTCTAACTACTAAGTGACCTCCCAACTTCCTTCCTAATCAAGTTGGGTTTTTTTGGTTTGTTTTTCTTTTTCCTGCCAACTAAAAATACACTATCCAGTTCAAGAAATGTGGCTGATTGAATAGCAGCAGCTGCTGAAGACCTGCTTTGCATATTGAAACAACCTTGGGAGAAAAATACCAAAAACTCACTATCATCAGCTCCTGTTGTGAGTCAGGCCCGGAGCTTGTCACACAGATGTGTCTTGGCCTCCGTGCTGTCCCACCTGCATATTTTTAGGAGAAAGTCTCTGGCCACCATTTCTTTTCCCCGTTAGTGTCAGGAAACTCCCTGCAAAAACTGGAAAAGCAGAAGTTGAAGCTGCTGCTTCGGTGCAAAGCTAGCATTCTCCAGATGTTTTTCACACTGTTTCAGAAAGTGGATCATCTACTGCTGTTTCCTTTTCCTGTTTCTTTCCTTCTTTTTTAAGAGACAAAGAGATCCACTGCCAAGACACTATTTCTGGTTAGAGTAGGAAAGAGGGCAAAAAGAGAAAGGCACGAAAAATTTCCCCAGCCTTGTCACTCAGTTCTTCACTCAGTTATAAAGAAATGACATTGCCAATAAAATAGGAAATGGAAATAGCAGGAAAGTTCTGGAATAGGAGCTGTGCTGTACAGTAAAACACTCACAAGCCAATTAATGCATAATCATTCAAAGTACAAGTTGCAATACAAAATACATTTTAAAGAGTCTGTAATCTGCTTATATTCTATATCTAATTGTTCCATGATGTCTTATTCTTTATATATCAGAAAAATGTTGACCTCCTCCATTCATTTGGCACGCCAATACATTTGAGCAGGTTTTTTTTTTAAAAAAAAAATAATAATGTGATAGACTTTACAGAGCATTGCTCATATCTGATCAATAAAAATTCCATTATACCTATAGACTATCACAGCTTTCAACATTACCTCCTCCATACTTCTTCCTTTGCAGATTAGAAAATTGAGGCTCAGAAAAATTAAATAATTTATGCCAGGCAACACAGAAAGTAGCAAACCTGGGACTAGAATCCAGATCTAATTATTCAACCTGTGTTCTTCCTAATTATGATGGTGCCTCACGGATACAGTCACGGTGTCCTGCTCCATCTCATCTGCAAAAATTATCACAGCATTCCTTCTGATTTCTAATTTGATGAACTTGCTACATCAGTAACAAAATTATGAGCACCTGCGCACACACACACACACACACACACACACACTATTAACTTGTGTTAAGAGACAAAGGTATTGGCCAGGCATGGTGGCTCATGCCTGTAATCCTAGCACTCTGGGAGGCCGAGGCGGGTGGATTGCTCGAGGTCAGGAGTTTGAAACCAGCCTGAGCAAGACCCCTGTCTCTACCAAAAATAGAAAGAAATTAATTGACCAACTAAAAATATATATACAAAAAAAAATTAGCTGGGCATGGTGGCACATGCCTGTAGTCCCAGCTACTCGGGAGGCTGAGGCAGTAGGATCGCTGAGTCCCGGAGTTTGAGGTTGCTGTGAGCTAGGCTGACGCCAAGGCACTCACTCTAGCCTGGGCAACAAAGTGAGACTCTGTCTCAAAAAAAAATAAAAGAGAGAGAGACAAAGGTATTGACGGACTGCATTGTCCTGTGAGAAGAAAATCTGCCATGGAATGTTAGGGAAGAAAGTGCGGCAGACATTGTTTCCGCCCAACACCATTCCCACGTTCTTCTTGCTAAGAGTAGCATGATTTAACTCAGGTACTGGAAGGTGGGGGGCAATGTGCTCAGAGAAGGTGGACCCAGCCTGGCCAAGCTACATCATCTTATTCTTCTGGCCAATGAGATACAAGAGGAAATTGCCTGAGAGGCTTTGGGAAGTAGTTCTTTCTTGGTTAAATAAATACACACACATACGCACGAAGACTGCCCCCTTTTCCCTTCTTCCTGCCTTTAAGTTCAGTTGTGTGAGGATAAGATGCATCATGTTGCTACACCAAAGAGTTGATGGTGCCAAAGCAGAGACTCTGGCTCCCAGAAGACACTAGAGCTGCCAAACCAACCTGGAACGACCCCCTCCGGATGCACTGTCACGTGAGATAAGAAAATCTTGTTGCAGCCACCTGCAGTTGGGTGTTTTGTAACTTGTAGCTGAAAGCATAGTCACTTCACCTCTCTGAGCCTCCATTTTTTCCTTTATAAAATGGTGATCATATTACCTACCTGGCAAGGTGGTCATCAGGAGGAAATGAAACCATACAATGCCTAGAAACTCAAACAAAGAAACTCAGCAAGTGGTAGCTGCCAATATCATAATCATGATAACCATTATATCAAAATCTGCAACAGTGGGAGTGTTTACTCTGCCAGTGTCCACGGCAGCTGGTCCCTTCCCCCTACAACAGTGGTCTGGGGACAGGACACCCAGCTGCTACCTCTTCTCCGAGTGCTCAGGAGCTCAGTGTTGGGAGTTTGGGGCCTGAGAGGTAGGGGTTCCAGCCAAGAAGGGAAAACAATAAAAATAAAAAGCAAGCATGTGAAATCAAAGCACAATTTGTAGTGCAACATGAGGATATACTGAATGATCTTAGCAAGCTATAGAGTGTTCATTTCTTATGTCCCAGAAGTCCCAACTCTGTTAATCTAGCCAACAAAAATAATCCCAATGAAGAGAAAAACTTTGCTTACCAAGACTTTAATTCAGCATGATTTTTATAGACTTTAGATAGAAGTAAATCATAATATTTCCCCTTGATATAATTATGAAACCAATCCCATAATTTTTATTTGACTATGTAGCAATAAGACAATGTAATTTTTGATATAAACTTAAGCAAAAAAAGAAAAAAAATCAGAGTACAAAAGTGTGTACATCATACACTCCGATAACAACCACGTGGAACACGGCTATAACTAGACTGGGCTGCACTTGGCAACCTGATTGTTAAATAAGTGCACTGCACACAGGAAAGAAAAAGGCTGTGGATTGTTGAAGAAACTCTGGCCAGAAAAGGGAAGAAAGACCCAGAGAAGGCGTCCAAGGCAGGAGCTCCACCTTCAGGACGCAGCACGGGCAGTGGGGACAGACCAGGAAGACGTCCGGCTCTCCAGACACCACCAGGGAGATGAGGTGGGGACGCAACCTGGGACTTAGGAACACAGGGAAACAGCTTCCACGTGCCATTTGCTGGATAAATATTTCTTTTTTTATATATATGTTTATTTTTATTTATTTATTGTTTCCAGCATATTGTGGGGGTACACACGTTAAGGTTAGGTATATTGCCCTTGCCTCCCCTCCCCCCTTGAGTCAGAGCTTCAAGCGTGTCCATCCCCCAGTGGGTGCGCATGGCACTCATTATGTATGTATATGCCCATCCCTCCCCCACCTGCTCAACACCCGATGGATAAATATTTCTTATAGAATGTTTCCTATTGATTCACCCTCTACTTTGAAAGCCTCGTCTGTGGTCAGAGTCCTAGGAAAGCAGAGGCAGACAGACTTCTGTCCTTCTCGGGAATTTTGTGGAGGGCGATAGATCAGCAACATGCCATGAAGCCAATTACCTAGGAAAAGCATGGAAAGACATACAGAAATCACAAATATAACCGGGCGCGGTGGCTCACGCCTGTAATCCTAGCTCTCTGGGAGGCCGAGGTGGGCGGATTGCTCAAGGTCAGGAGTTCGAAACCAGCCCGAGCAAGAGCGAGACCCCCGTCTCTACTATAAATAGACAGAAATTAATTGGCCAACGAATATATATAGAAAAAGTTAGCTGGGCGTGGTGGCACATGCCTGTATTCCCAGCTACTTGGGAGGCTGAGGCAGCAGGATTGCTTTAGCCGAGGAGTTTGAGGTTGCTGTGAGCTAGGCTGATGCCACGGCACTCACTTTAGCCTGGGCAACAAAGCAAGACTCTGTCTCAAAAAAAAAAAAAAAAAGAAATCACAAATATATATTTTAAAAAGCACATGAACAATAAAAGAAATAATAAATATAAATCTATTTGTGTATTATAAATATAAATAAAATATCTTTGCAATCAACATCTACTGTATCCTATGACTAATTTAGATCTTCATCCATGAAAATCCTGCCTCGTGGTGAACATGGAGCTCTTTCTGATGGAGGGCTCCCACTTTTTCCTGCCAGCTCCTTTGTCTGCCCCCATGTGACTGTGGCCCACGTTGGCAATGCAGTATCGTGCTCCCGGGTAGCCCACGGCTCGCAGGTAGAAGCAGGCTCCGTGAGGGAATGAGACCACGAGCCACACTAGAGGAAGAGAGCACACTGATTCAGAGGGCACGACGATGGTCCCTCTGGCTGTCACCAAGGATGACTTCCAATTCGGGGTCTCCCCTTGTCATCCCACCAGGCACTATCACTTCTGACCCCTTACTTGTCACTTTCCTCTACCCAACTATGTCCTCCCCTACCAGCGGGCCCTAACACAGAGCAGGTCAGCTCTTTTTTTATATAACGAATATTTTACAACATGTGTTTTAAATGTCTAGAAATGAAAATAATAAATAATAGAATCTACCTCCCCACATAATCTTGAAAGAAAATCAGTGTAATGCTGTAACTGCAATATAAGACATAAATAAAAGAAGGTAATTTATAATAAAGTAATATATATTCTCATACATAAGTGCTTAGGCACAAGCACATTAATGAAGTTGTCAAACCCTCGTATCTCCACATAGAATTCACATGAGGGCAACGGCACCCATCAGTGTCAAGGTGCATCTTATCCGCAACTTCAGTGCGCCCTGCTATTCAAAGCACTGCTGTCAGTGATTTTCTGAAGTGATGAACAGCTCCTGGTAAAGCACCAAACAAAACAAAGCACAAGCTCCTCTCAATTCACATAGCAGTTGCATTTCTGGAAAGTATAGTGTATATGAAAGTCAGGCAAAAAATAGTCTGCATTTATATATAAAATAAAATTAGGTTATAGGATTAGATAATTTTTAAATAGTGGCTTTTTTTCTTTTTGAGACCAAGTCTCGCTTTGTTGCCTAGGCTAGAGTGAGTGCCGTGGCGTCAGCCTAGCTCACAGCAACCTCCAACTCCTGGGCTCAAGGGATCCTGCTGCCTCAGCCTCCCGAGTAGCTGGGACTACAGGCATGCACCACCTAAATAGTGGCTTTTTAGGAGTTCTGGACCAGCCTGAGGAAGGGCGAGATCCCATCTCTACAAAACATAGAAAAATTACCCAGGCGTGGTGGCGCACCTGTACTCCCAGCTACTCAGGAGACTGAGGCAGGAAGATCAATGAGCAATGATGATGTGATGATGTCACTGCACTCCAGCTTGGGCAACAGAGCCAGACATTTTTTAGACGTGTCACCGCGAACGAAGAGAGGAGAAGGGAGAGCCAGAAGAACGCCATGAGTGAGCTGGGGGACAGAGGCAAAAAAAAACAAAAAAACGGCAGGAGGACTGAAAGAGGACCGAAGAAGAAAAGAGAGAAAAGAATCGGGGCGGAACGGGCGGAGAAAGGAAAAAGAAAGGAGGAAAGAAAGAGAAAAGGAAAAGAAAGATAAGACAAGAGGAAGAAGAAAGAAAAAGAAAGAAGAAAAGACAGACAGAAAAGAAGAGAAGAAGAGAAGAAAAAGAGGAAGAAAGAAAGAGGAACGAGGATCTGCGGAGGCGAGGGAGAGAAGAAAGGGAGAGAAAGAAAAGAAAGAAGAATTGAGCAATAACAATTGACTATAGTTTCACCATGGGCGGAAGTTGTATTCGAAAGTTTTCAGATTGAACGCCAACTTCTTAAATTTTTATGGGTTGACGCCGTCAAACATATATGAAAAGCCCTACTTTTTTAGGGAGATATTTTATTCATCTGCTTAGGCAGTTTTTTTTTTTTTGAGACAGAGTTCATTTGTTGCCCAGGGCTAGGTGCAGTGCCATGCGCATCAAGCCCTAGGCTGCACAGCAACCTTCAAGGAGTCGCCTGCTGCAGCATCGCTGTCGAGCGCTCCCCGGGGCCGTTAGGCTGCGGCTACAGGAATGTGCCGACCATGCCCGCGCCTAATTGTCTCGTTTATAGTACTGGTATGTAGTTGGCCACTTGAATTTCGTTCTGTATTTCATAGTAGAACAGCGCTTCGCTCCGGTTGTTCAGACTGGTCTTTTGAACTGCCTGACCCCTCGAGCAATCCTCCTACCCCGCCGCCTGCCCAGCAGAGCTAGGATTGACAGCGTGAGCTTTTGCTTGTGTGTTGTTGTTAATGTGTTCAGCATAAGTTAAAGATTCTCGGCCTGTTGTTTTGGGCCCGCTGTCACGCCTGTATCCTACACCTGGGACCGAGCCAATGCTCGAGTCAGGAAATCACACCAGCCTGACAACAGTAACCCGCAGTGCCTATATAAATAGGAAAAGAAACTGTTAAAAAAAGTGGCCAACTAATATAAATCAAAAAAAATTAGCGGTATGGGTGGAACATGCCTGTGATACAGCTACTTCGGGGAGCCTTAGGCAGGAGGATTGCTGTTGAGCCCAGGAGTTTTTGAGTTTGCTCGTACGTGGCCAATGCCATGGCCCTCACTCGTAGTCTTGGGCAACAAAGCGAGACTTCTGTCTCAAAAAAAAAAAAAAAAAAAGATCTCTGCCGCACAAGGAAAGCATCGAAAGGGCAGTGGTGCGCTGAAAGAACAGAGCCCCTTCCGTTTTGTGCAGGTATCCCCCACACACACGAACCGAGGTCACAGGTGCGTGTGAGGCGACACGACGAGGAGCTCTCCTCCCGCTGAGCCAGGTGCAAGTCTGAGTTGCTAAGAGACCAGGTGTGCCGGCCTGCTCTGCCATGAGCTGATGAGCCTGACATCTTTTGTGGCAGGTCCTTATAAGATGACCGCTGAGACACCCTGGTCCAGGAGGGGGCCGTGAAACCCGCCCCACCCCCCAACCACCTGGGAAAAGGAAGCTGAAAAAGGGGAAGCAGCAACAGCCACTACACTTCCTTTGCATCTCGCTCTCAGGACACGCAGAAAGCAGCTCTGCGAGGGAACACAGCCACAGGCTAACAATAACCCAGAGGTAATTTTCATATTTACTCTTCTGCCCCGGGGAGGAGGGATGAGCACAGGCTGTCTTGTTTTCCTCCAGGGGCAGCTGAGATACAGCCCTGGAGGTGAGATGTCCCTTTTTCTGTCCCACCCAGGCATCTCCTTGGTTGGGAACAGGTATTCTGTCTTAAAATTTGGAGTTCTTTAAAAACACGTGGAGTGTTCTAGAGGTCATTTACCTTGGTAAGATAGTGGAAGAAACCACTTCGCTCTGACTCATAAATTTGTCCACAGTCAACAGTATTTATAAATAGCCATGACAGTCATGTGTTGCCTAATGACACATGACAATAGACGTGACAGTCTATCGTTGACCATTGTCAGTGGTCACATAAGACTATAAAGGAGCTGAAAAAGTCCTATTGCTTAGTGACCTCAACCCTCTTAATCTTGTGCTGCATTGAATTCCCTTTTCTATGTTTAGATATTTTTGTTTTGTTTTGTTTTTTTGAGACAGAGTTTCACTCTGTTGCCTGGGCTAGAGTACTGTGGCATCAGCCTAGCTCACAGCAACCTCAGACTCCTGGGCTCAAGCGATCCTCCTGCCTCAGCCTCCTGAGTAGCTGGGACTACAGGCATGCGCCACCATGCCCGGCTAATTTTTTACATATACTTTTAGTTGTCCAGCTAATTTATTTCTATTTTTTTTAGTAGAGACGTGGTCTCGCTCTTGCTCAGGCTGGTCTCGAACTCCTGAGCTCAAACGATCCTCCCACTTCGGCCTCCCAGAGTGCTAGGATTACAGGCCTGAGCCACCACGCCAGGCCTGTTTAGATATTTTGAAACACACAAATACTTACAAACAGCGTTACAATTGTCTGCAGTATGCAGTATACTAACACGCTGTACAGGTGTGCAACCTAGGAGCAAAAGGAGCAAAAGGCTACACTGTACAGCCCAGGCGTGTGGTGGGCTCTGGCATCTAGGTTTGTGTAACTGCACTCTGTGATGTCCACATAAGGAAATGGCCTAACAACACATCTCTCAGAGTGTATGCTCATCATTAAGTGACGCCTGACCGTATTTACGGGACATTGTGCTGGTCCTGTGGACGGTTCCAAAGGTAGCAGAAGTTACCATGAGCGGAACCGTCCTCTTCACTCTGTGCATGGAACCCAGCCTAGCTTCCACTTCGGGGTTTAGGCTTATAGGAGGACAACAGAGGTTAGAGGCCACAGGCTAGCAAGAATTGAAGACATCTTTCCGCAGTTTCTATTGAACTAGGTCTGTCTGACTGGAAGTTCATTTTGCCTCTTTGCTTTAGCTACTAAGGAGTGTGAGCCCACCTGCTGTGTCCCCTGGGGCCGGGCCCTGTTCTCCCTTGAGGCAGGGCCCCAGAGGTAGGTCAGATGATGGTGACTCAGACACTCTCACTTCCTGGCCCTTTCAAAGTGAAGACTTCCCCTATTTTGAAGTGCCTGCGGGGATTTGTGTCCCTTCAGGATACAACAGCTGATGTGGGCCTCTGGCCTTTCTCCCCTAGGGTCCGGCTGCGGCCATCATGGGTTCTGTGAATTCCAGAGGTCACAAGGCCCAGGTGGTGATGCTGGGCCTCAACTCCGCGGGCAAGACCATGCTCCTGTACAAACTGAAGGGCCACTCGCTCGTGGAGACCCTGCCCACTATCGGTTTCAACGTGGAGCCTCTGGAAGCCCCTGGGCACATGCTGCTGACGTTCTGGGATGTCGGGGGGCAGACCCAGCTCAGGGCCAGCTGGAAGGACCACCTGGAGGGCACGGACGTCCTCGTGTATGTGCTGGACAGCACGGACGAAGCCCGCTTGCCCGAGGCGGTGGCTGAGCTCACGGAAGTCCTGAGCGACCCCAACATGGCTGGCGTCCCCTTCTTGGTGCTGGCCAACAAGCAGGAGGCGCCCGAAGCTCTTTCGCTGCGTGAAATCAGGAACAGGCTGGGCCTGGAGCGCTTCCAGGGCCGCCGCTGGGAGCTGCGGGCCTGCAGCGCGCTCACGGGCGAGGGGCTGCCCGAGGCCCTGCAGAGCCTGCGGCGCCTCCTGACGGCCCGCGGCCACCGGTGTCTCCAGGTGACAGCCGCGGGGGCTGAGAGCTGCGCCAGCCAGAAATCCTGAGCCCCATGCAGCAGCTTATCTTTGCTCCTCCCAACCCAACCGCAAGAACCAACTGATCCTTGAGAAATTTAAGCTCGGTTTATCAAACAAGAAATCCTTCTGTTCTCGGACAGGATATTTTCTTCCAGGGACTTATCCTCCACGGCGTTCATGTTGCAAATCAGCTATTGCTTGAATAATGCTACTGTAAGAAAAAAGCCCACCAGGACACCATTTAAGTGCTCATTCCCAGTGGGGATGGAGCAACTGTAATAATAGGGCAGTGAGTGGTTACATGATAATTGAGACCCGAATTCACAGAGGGCAAGAGGTTCTAAAATCAAATCAGAATTTCATCTTGGTCAGGGCCTGATTAGCCCTTCTCCACCCTTTGGCATCCTGTGTTGGTCTTTTTAAAAAACCCTTCATTTTCTTTCATTTTTTTTCCTTTTCTTTTTCCTTCTCATAGCACATCTCTTTCCTTAAAGATCAGATCAATGAATTATTTCATTTACTCATTCATTTAACCAAAGAATATGCAGAGTGTTTAATTTGTGGCAAAGGCACTGAACTTTCAGGTAAGATGGAGGCGCTTCAGATGGGGGCGATGAATTCTGAAGATGCTGACGGCAGCAATCCATGCCTCCTCTCTCATGACTGACAGTCAAAAGGGAAGTTGAACGTAGCATCCCAGAAGGGCTTTCAGGAGATTTTTTACCCAGGATCCATGGAGCTCCTGAAGTTATTTGCAAAATGTTATGTTTTGGGCCATTTTTCTAGGGATCAGAAGATCCAGGACTTTTATCAGACTTTCAAAGACATCTGTGAGTCCCAAAAGTTAAGAATCGCTGATCTGGTTTTAACCCTCATCCAATGCTGAATACTTACTGCAACCTGAGTTTTGTGTTTTGTTTTGTTTGCGATGGGGTTTCCCTGTGTTGCCCAGGCTGGCCTCAAACTCCTGGCCTCAAGAGATCCTCCCACCTCAGCCTCCTGAGTAACTGGTACTACCACTGCACCCACCTGTAATCTGAGTTTTTTCTTTTTGTTTGGTTTTCTTCATTGCTCATTTGTTTGTTAGAGACAGGGTCTCCCTATGTTGCCCAGGCAATCCTCCCGCCTCAGCCCCCTGAACAGCTGGGACTACAGGCACACACCACTGTAACCAGCTGTAATCCAAGTTTATTTAACGGCAAGCAGCTTACATTTGGCACCTGTTCTCATGTTAAAGGGCTCTAAATGTTGGATATTCCTTCTTATCCTGAATTAAAATCAGCCTCCTTATAGCTCCTGGTGGTGTTCTGCCCTCTCTGGAGAGACACAGTGTAAATTGGCCTCGGATACTCTTCTAATGTCTGAGATCTGCCAGGAGCCTCTACCCAAAGCCTCCCCTGCTAACACCAGGTGAGGCACGCCTAGTTCCTTCCACTCCTTGTCAATGGACGCATTTCCAGACTTCCTGTGTTAGACACTAAGGATGCAAAGATGGATAAAGCCTCAGGCCTCATGGCACTCTGGCTGGGGAGACAGTAGGGACATAATTCCTGTAAAAGTGTCAGGGTAGAGGCTCACTTCAGCAACTGTTTATTGAGCACTTAACTAGCACCAGGCTCTGTGCTTAGCGTTTTACAAAGATTATCTTGAATTTTCACAACTCTGCAAAATAGATATTATTCCCATTTTGTATAATTAGAAACTGAGGCTGGGGGAGGTTGCAACCTCTTGGTGCTTGAGGCACAGAAGGTGGGTGAGGGTGATGCTATAATAGGAAATAAAAACTGGAAAGGAAGTTTAGGTCAGAGTTAGGCCTGGCAGTTTGGATTTTTTTTTTTTTGAGACAGAGTCTCGCTCTGTTGCCCGGGCTAGAGTGTCATGGTGTCAGCCTAGCTCACAGCAACCTCAAACTCCTGGGCTCAAGCAATCCTTCTGCCTCAGCCTCCTGAGTAGCTGGGACTACAGGCATGTGCCACCATCCCCGGCTAATTTTTTCTATATATATATTAGTTGGCCAATTAATTTTTTTCTATTTATGGTAGAGACGGGGGTCTCGCTCTTGCTCAGGCTGGTTTTGAACTCCTGACCTCGAGTGATCCGCCCACCTCAGCCTCCCAGAGTGCTAGGATTACAGGTGTGAGCCACCGTGCCCGGCCTATTTTTAAGAAAAATAGTGGAGAGGGGAAGAATTTGAAGATGGCTCAAGATCTCGAGTCTGCATGACAGGAGGGTCTGGAGCGTCATAGGTGTGAGAAGGTGGGACGGGGCTGGGGCCACTGGGTTCTGCTTTTGAAATGCTGGGTCTGACGTTGGTCGTAGCTGCTTCCAGATCGTTCCTTGCAGTTCTCGAGATGCTGAGCACCTGTCGGACGCCTTTGCTGGTTCCCCCCACAGGGGCACTCTCTCTGATGCTCTTACATTTCTGCTGAGCTGAGGTCAACATGTTCTCTCCTCCAAGAGAGCCTAAGGCCGCGCGTGCTCTTCCCACACGGGTGTCATACCCCAGCTTACCCAACATTTCTATGATTTCATAATGGGAAAGCCATCTGCCACGTGGCCGGATGACCTGGACTTGCTTTGCTATGTGGCCATGAGCCTCCCTGGGTTGCCGGCAGGAGGGTGATCTGATGAGGTCCGTGCTTAAGAAGATAACACGGGCAGCAGCGTTTGGGTGGGAGGAGCATCCTGAAAGCAGGGACAGGTTAGAGGAAGGACAGAGGCGTCTTTTGACCCATACGACTGACGCCACTGGTCTGTAGGGACTGTCACTGCAGCCACCCCATCATGCTATAGAAACCATTTTTCCTGTTCTTTTGACAATCCCTCTGTGTCAGCCAGGCCAGGCTCCTCGCTGACACCAGGATGCACCACGCTTTCCCCGGCTCCAAGTGTGTGCTCCTGTTGGACTCCACAGAGTGGGCAAGAGGGCCAGCAGGCAGCTCCGAGTTTCTACTCCAAACCCTCCATCCTTGAAGGCAGACACGCTTGGTCTCAACAGGCCGTAGGAAGTCCCCTTTCACCATCCCCCTCAGATAAGACTTCAGAAAATGGACAAGAACAACAAAGCATGATAACCACACCTAGTGAGTGTTAGTGCTGGTCTGCTTCCTGCTGGGTCTCACATGCACACCAATCACTCCCGTAGCATCACCCAGCAGGTGAGTTCTAGCATGTCACCTGCACAATTCTCTCTGGATTGAAGGCGGCTTTGACAGTCTCCGAGTCCATGGCAGCCTTCCGTTTTTACGTAGGCTTAGGGGGCTCTCCTATCTGCACCTCCTGTTTGAATCCTGGCCAGACTCCACCTCTCCGGGAAGCTTTGCCTGCACACCCAGCACCCCCTGCCCCTGAACTTCCATGTCACCAACGGCCCAGCCCTGCTTCTCAGTGCCTGGCATCATTTTGCCCTAACTGGGGCAGTTCCACTTGTCGGTACGTACCTCCCTGAGTGTGGTGTAAATTCATAGAGACGAGGGCCAAGCCTTCCATCCTACTGACCTCTTCAAAGCCTGGAACAATATTAGACACTGAGAGTTGCTCATTAAGTACCTGGGGAATAATGGATGACTGGTTAAAGCCAGGGAACGGGGTGTCATGTGTGTGAGTCCCCAGCTGCTCTGAACTGTCCAGAATAAAGTCCGAAAACAAGAACAAGAGGCTCATTGGCTTGAGAGCCAAGATGGTGGCATAAAACTATACCTTAGACACCTTTTGTGATAAAAGCAACAACAAAGCGTCACACATGCTCTTTCTAGAACACAGCACACTCATAACGACCTGACTTTTAGTCAGCATCCCAGAGTGGGTGGAAAGTGGGAGCTGTCACCAGATGGAAAGTTGAACAGGAATGACAGACTGTTGAGCAGCACCTCCTGCCACAGCACCTGGGTGCTGAGACGGGCATGGCCCGAGTGAGAGGAGGCAATGTGACCTTTGCTGCCACCTCTTGGGCCTGTAAGAGCAAATGCAAATTAAAATAAGCACTTGCTCCATAGATCAGTAGGGTGACTATAGTTAGCAGTAGCCTGTTATACTTTTCAAAATAGCTAGAAGAGAATAATTTGCATGTTCCTAAGCGTGAAGAAAAGACAAATATTTAAGGTGATGGATCTCCCAATTATTCTGATTTAATTATGTGAATATATCAAATTTTATTAATAACATGTATCCTGAAAATGTGTACATCTATTATATATCAATTAAAAGAATAAGCAGCTTAATCCTTCACTGAACTCCCTTCCTTTTCTTTTTTTTTTTTTTTTTGAGACAGAGTCTCGCTTTGTTGTCCAGGCTAGCGTGAGTGCTGTGGCGTCAGCCTAGCTCACAGCAACCTCAAACTCCTGGGCTCGAGTGATCCTTCTGCCTCAGCCTCCCGAGTAGCTGGAACTACAGGCATGCGCCTCTATGCCCGGCTAATTTTATATATATATATCAGTTGGCCAATTAATTTCTTTCTATTTATAGTAGAGACGGGGTCTCGCTCTTGCTCAGGCTGGTTTTGAACTCCTGACCTTGAGCAATCCGCCCGCCTCGGCCTCCCAAGAGCTAGGATTACAGGCGTGAGCCACAGCGCCCGGCCCCTTCCTTTTCTTCTTAGAGCATTTACTGTAGGAAACTTGGAATTTTAAGTTCTTTCCTCTGTCTTTTTGAGATGTACGTAAATCTTTTTAAAAGCTAAGTTAGCCTCTTGGTAGCTTTAGGACTATTCCCAAGGACCAAGGAGCCATTCCTTTGAAATGTCGTCATCAAAGGAGACACTCTCCCATTTCATCCTGGCAGATGCCCCACTCTGAGTTGCAAAACTACCTCCTGTCCTAAAGCTATGAGAAGTTTGTTTTTCCTTTGGATAAAGCCAATTAGCTAACACAGATGGTGACCTCAATTACTAGTTGAATTTAGGGTAAACTCCCTGTGAAAAATGGGCTGTCAAGTGCTCCTGCTGGAGGACCAACTAGCTCTTTCTCCTTTGCCTTGGGAACAGTCAGGGGTGGGCTGCCTCTGCTCTGTAAGAGGGTGAGGTTTCCTTCTGTCATTGCAGTTTCTTAGGTGATTGCCTATGATGCGAGTCGTATTCTAGTTGAATGTTTATTTAATAATAAAACACTTTTCTTTCTCTACTACTTTTGTGGAGAGATTTTCTGAGTTGGCAAGAGATTTTTTTTTTTGAGACAGAATCTCACTCTGTTGCCCAGAATAGAGTGTCGTGGTGTCAGCCTAGCTCACAGCAACCTCAAACTCCTGGGCTCAAGCGATCCTCTTGCCTCAGCCTCCTGGGTAGCTGGGACTACAGGCATGCGCCACCATGCCCAGCTAATTCTTCTATTTCTAGTAGAGATGGGATCTCACTCTTGCTCATGCTGGTCTCGAACTCCTGACCTTGAGCAATCCTCCCGCCTTGGCCTCTCAGAGTGCTAGGATTACAGGCGAGAGCCACTATCCCCAGCCAGGAGAGTTGTCTTTAATAACAGTTCCCCTGCAGGCCCATCTGCCAGGCTCTGTGAACTTTTATTTGCACTCATGACCAGTCAGAGGGGTCCTCGACCCAAAGGCATCTTAGTCAACAAAGGAAAACTCAAGGTGGCTTTTGAAGGGCACTTAATTAGTAATAATAAACACAAGTCCAACAAGACCTGTGGCCTTCCCCACCGGCAAGATTATGAACACCTGTGACTGTCCCTGAACTCAGTGAAGGAAGTATTTCTCAGTGCATGAGGGGTGACCCCAAATTCCCTCCCACATGGCTCAAAAAAGCAACAAAACAATTTTAGAAAGGAAAAAAAGTCTTTTATTTTCACCATGTTGTCTTGATTTCCACTCCTCTGACACATTCACCCCCTCCCATGGAAACTTGGCTTTGTAGCTACAGATGCATATTTTTAAAATCTCCATTAGAAATGGCATTGT